ACCTAAAACTGAAACTCTATAACACTATAATAATGTGAAAAAGCTAAAGCTAAATTTCAAAAGCTTTTTTTTCTCCTCCATTGTGTCTGGAATTACATTAACTTTGCCGCTCTGTCATGATTCACCTTGACTTTGTAATTACATTTTCTACTGAGAAACAATTATGTCTGTCAGTGACCTCTGGAAAATCCGTGCAGGTACAGACGACTGAACTTTTTTCCTCTAATGTGAAGATTTCAAAGGGTTAACATGTCTCTCTCCATGTCTGTAATTTCAGTCAAATGATGCATTGCTACATTCTGACAGGCAACCTCAAATTAGTCTGAACTAATTAGTTAAAGGAGCCCTCATTAGACAGCTCAGTTGCATATTTGTCACTGCAGGTGATGCCAGCAGCAGAAGCCTGTGTGACTGCGAGATCTTCATTCATTAAAGACTGTAAACAGCCATACAGGAAGAGGGAAGAAATGATTTCATTGGCAATTAGATAATTGCATAGAAGAGAGAATATCAATCTGCATTCAGCTGCCTGGAGCTCATAGCATATACACCTCTTAATTATGTACTGGACATACTGTATAAATACCCCTTTAAGATGAGAAGGATATTTGTATGGTAATATCCATACATTTACATGGACCATGACCAGTTTTTGCATTGTCAGATATAATTAATAATGCAATCTTTTGCCTGCAAATTGTTAATTATGGAAATATGCATACATGATGTGTGCATGGTATAACTCATTAATGATTCATAACCTTTTTATGGAAGGTGGGTAAGGTCAGATTTCCATTAACAGTGAAAACACAAATATGTTGTAATTAAATTCCCAAACTACAAACTACTCAACTCATAAAGTCATGCTACTCTATTAAAATGGTTACAGCATAAGTTAACAAAAAAAAAAAAAGAAAAAAAATATATGTATATTTCAAGTACCATTTAACCATTTATCTCACACATAAATAAATTAATAAATAAATAAATTAAATAATTAGGGTAACCACATCAAACTTACATACATTTATGTTAAGTACAATTAAAAAAACTACAAAACACCTTTTTAATCACACATCTTGCAATTCTGACTTTTTTCTGAGTCATACAGTCAGAATTGCATGATATAAACTTGCAATTCTGACTTTTTTTTCTCACAGTTGCAATTTCCTGCAATCCTGACTTAATTTGTCAGAACTGTGAGATATAAACTTACAATTGCGAGTTATAAAGTCAAATTCTGACTATTTTCTAACAATTGCAAATTGTCATCATGCAATTCTGACTTTATTTCTTAGAATTGTGTTTATAGCTTGTAATTCTGACTTCATAACATGCAAGTTTATATCTCCAGTTCTGAAAAAAAAAAAAAAATCAATAAATAAAAGTCAGAATTGAGAGATAAAAAGTCGCAATTGGCGAAATAGATTTCCATGATAATATTAATTTTAATTTTAGTTAAAAATTTAGTTATGCTTTACTGTAGTCATTTTAAGATAGGTTTATGTAGTTTTTATTAATTTTTATTTCAGTTTTACTTATTTTGTTACATCAAGTTAAATTGTATTTTATTTCAAATAACATTTATTTTATTTCAAGTAACATTTGTAACATTGATTGATTCAGTATCAAGTTACATTGATTGATTGATTGTTAACAAATAGCAGCATTTAATTAAATATATATATATATATAAAAAAAACTACTGAGTGGGAGAAAAGTAGTGTATTACAGGAAAAGCAACATTATTATGAAAACAGTTGAGCTTCTGTCAGACTGCTGAGGAATGTAGGGAAGTTATGAAGTATTAGTCACTCACAATGTGCTTGATTCTGGTGTCTGAGTCGTGTCACATGCTGTCTGATAATTCATGATGAGGGTAAATGTTGTCTTTTAATAGCTCAGAGTTTGGGCTTCTAATGCTGGAGGGGAAGATCTGGAGGATCATTACAGTTGAAAACAGCTTTTATCGTGACATAAAAACATGCTGTTGGACAGACAGTCATAAGTGCTAGTGACATATGCTGTGATATGGAAATGCAGATCATTTTAATAATATACACAGGCTGGCCTTGGGAAGCTCACATATCTTTTGCTTTAAGATTTTGCATAAGACATTGAGGCCTGTTTTTAGAACCAAAACAGTTTTTCCATTATTTTATCCTAAATGATCTTGCTAAAAACATCCAATTCTCATGACTGTCATGAAAATCATCCAGAGATTAAATTCAGCAGAATAATACAACGTAAACGATAGGAGCTAAAATTAGCAGAGTGCCAAATGAGAGTAAATATCAGTGTTGGTGAGTACATGAAACAGTGTCACTCACCAGTTGGCCTAGAATATTTCTTATTAATTCAAACAATGCCTGAACTTTAATATGATTTAGCACAGTTATGAAATCGCAGAAAAAAAATATGTAGAACAATTATATAATATGTAATCTGATGCACTCTGTGTTTCAGCACTGTGATCTGTTTCACAGTTTGCAGTAAATGCTGCTCCATCTCCAAGTGCTTTTATTTATTTCAGTTTGTGTTTTAGTTATTTTAGTGTGCCGAGTTAAATTTTATTTAATTTCAACATCCATTTTATTTCAAGTCATGAAAATTTTTATTTTTATTTTTATTAGTTTTAAATGGTTTTAGTTTTAGTTTTTTGTTAGCCCTGGATGAATAACAGCATATAATGATTAATAATTATAAATAATTATTATTAATAATTAATACAAATGTTCTGTCTTTTTTTGGTAATTAGTGCAGATACAGTTTCACACCAGTTATTTCTGATTCTTGAATCTGATTGGCTGAGAGATAACAGAGCTCCAACCATTTTACCGTTTGTATTACTCCGCTTACTGTATTTCTCACAGCGAGTGTCATGGCGGTCGCCCAAATCCACAATAATTTTATAAATAATACTGTTTCTGTGTCACAGAATGTAGTTTTAAGATGTATTTATTTTTTTAGGTGAGAATATAGTTGTTTAGACTTTTAATATATGCGGTTTGTTAATAAAGATAACATCTATTTGAAAATTTGCTTCAATGTTTTCGGAGATGTGAGCTCCAGGGCATCAGCGGCTGTTCAGCGCTCATGAACCTGCCGAGAGCAGCCTCACCTCGGCCAAATCTTCTGGAATTTTCCGCTGGCTCTGATGTCTCTATAGTGGTTAAACATGAGCTATAATTAGTTTTCGGTAAATCTAACGGGCAATCTTTAGTCTCATTAATCTATTATTTGTTCCTGAGCAAAGAGTTTTGGCTCAGGGCAAAGTCTCATAGCTTTATATTTTTATCTAACTTTAATGCTTGTAGAGTGCGGCCTTTGTACTTTTGACTGCAATTGCGTAGCAACTTTTATGATGGCTGTTGTTGTTGTTTATTAAATATTATTATTCAATAAATTATATTTTATATAAATAATAGTAGTATTTAATAATATCATTCAGTATTGAGAAACGGTGTTTGTGTTCATGATGGTGATTTTAGTTACATTGCTCCGCCGTTAGATGGCGACAAAAGACAGTTTTAATGAGTGAGTCTGCAGTAAAGACTATTATTTTGAAAGAGACTGAAACGCTGTTGTAAACAAGGAAGTTATTTTTACTTTCAACAACAGCTAGTAAAACGCAGCCAACAAATGCAGTGAGCAGCGCTGTCATCGGAAATCACCCTTAAAGGTCACATATTTTACACCTTTCTGGAGTTGCGGAAGTAGTTCCGCACAAAAGATGCTGTTAAACTGTCAAACTTGAGATTTGAATCCGTGGCGGAAGTAGTTCCGCACAAAAGATGGTTTTTAAAGACATTCCGTTGTTGTCTGTTTTTATTTACACACTTGTGCCGTCGAACTGTTGTATAAATGCAATATAGCACAAGTGGCAGTGTGTTATGGCTGTATATCAGCATGCTGTGATTACCTACGGCCGAATCATAGCCATGCTGATTTACAGCAATACCGCACTGCTACTCGTGTGAATATTATTGCTTATAAAACAGTTGGCGACTCTGGTGAGATAGAATTCGCAAGATAATGTTTATATAGCAATAACAAATGCATGTGTGTTTTCTTAATCTCTCCACTACCGACAGCAGAACCGTTAACGTCAGAGCTTATCGATACATGGGGTGCTGTGTGTACATTAATGAGGAAAAAAAATTAACTTAAATGATTTTAGCAAATGGCTGCAATATAACAAAGAGTGAAACATTTAAGGGGGTCTGAATACTTTCCGTACCCACTGTATATATGTGTGTGTGTGTGTACATTTTTATATATGTACACATTGGCACATGTGGCGAAATGTTAGCTTTAGGCCCTGCTTACAACTTTAAATTATATCTTTATAACAGTGATAAGAATGGTCCATTTTTCTTTTTGATTTTAAGGTGAAATATTTTGGGACAGTTTTCATGAGATTTACCCTTGGAGTGGCTTGACATAAAGGTGGTCAGACATTTTTTTCTGGACTCAGAATCATAATTTAACTGTTATATAATGGTCTGTTTCTTAATGTTAACATCTCTTTTACAGACACCTCTAGACAGGAGCGTATTTATTCTTGTCCATCTCACTTTCACCAGGATATCAGCATGCACCACTTAACTGCGTAAATGAAGCTAATGCAATATATTCATGTGTAAACATGCACCAGGCGTTAATTAGCCAGCGGAGATTCGTCGCCCTCCTCCTCCACGAACCGACCCCATGTCACAACATATCATAAAGCTGACACTCACCCCGTCTGAACTTATCATGCCACCAATTAGTCTGAATAAAGTGAAGGCTGTACTTCCTGTTTGTAATTCGATCTCATCAGTGAAAAGGGCAGCGAGTTATGTTAACGCATCGCTCTGCAAACCGCCTGCTAATAAAATAAACTATTGGCCTGCTATTGCAGGTTATGCCAGCAGGATTAGATTTCATAGCACATGAAGTGGTGTGGGAGTTTGATGAATGATGCTCAGATGTTGTCTTGTGTTTCTTGCGTTCCACAGGTCTCCACAGAATGGAGCGAGAATGAGCAGAGAGCGGTTGAGAGTGAAGCATGAACTGGAGGCTCATTGAAGTCACTTACTTTCTGTTTATATGGGACCATATAACAGTTCAGTCTTCCCGCCAAGAGCCCTCGGCCAACGAGCAGCATGTTGCTAAGCAGTTTGATTGGCTCATCTCTGACCGTGGCCCTTTCCACCACTCGAAGGGGTACCTCTCCTTCATGGAAAGATTTCGCCAAGGATTCACGACCCGGTATAAAATTTATAGGTGAGTAATCGACACCATGCACTCTTTGTACTGTTTAGTCTGCTATTGGGTCACGGCTGATATAAAGTTTCTGCTGTGTTATCTTAAAAATGGGTGAATTGTGAAGAACTGTCCTGAGTTTGAACCTGTTTTATCGTCTTATAGAAGTTCAAAGTGTCCCAAGAATATGTTTCTAGCCATTCAGAGAGGATATGCATGCAATATGATCAGTGCCACGTTATTGTGCTTGCAGGGTTCCCACGCTCATGAAAACACTGGGAGCTTTAAAATAGTGTTTTCCAGGCTCATGATTTTCAAATCATGAGCATTTGTGAAGTGAATTTATTTTTTCTGCTTTTGAAATATTGCATTGACAAGACAGTACTTTTTGAGAGCGAGTGAGATTGCACTCACTCTCAAAAAGCACTTTCTTGTCAATGCAATAAATTGATTGGTAAGACTTTAATTTAGTGTCCAATTCTCGCTATTAACTAATTGCTTATTAGCAGGCATATTATTAGCATATTGGCTGTATTTATAAAGCACATATTAATGCCTTATTCTGCATGACCATATTTTAGATCCTTTGATCTTACACCATACCTAAACTTAACAACTACCTTACTAACTATTAATAAGCAGCAAATTAGGAGTTTATTGAGGCAAAAGCAGTTAATAGTTAGTTAATAATGAGAATTGGTCCCCAAACTAAAGTGTGATAATTTTTTCTACTTCTGAAATATTGCATCAGCAAGAATTTGTTCTTTGAGGACGAGTGCAATCTCAGTAATTTTTTTTTCTTTATTTTTTTAACCAAGATGGTCACGTAATATCGAAAAAGTGAACAAATAATTGAAATGCATTGGTGTGGAGGTTTGGGAACCTGCATTGTGTGTAGTTGGCTGTCGTTCGAGTGGAGCAGTGCATTCTGTTCTTTACTCTGAAAATATTTTAAAGAACCTTAAACATAAAGAGGTAAAGAGGTAACACTTTACTTTAAATCAGGTCTCATTTGTTGGCATTAGTTAATGCATAAACTAACAATGAGCAATACATTTTCACAACATTTATTCATCTTTGTTAATGTTAAGTAATACACATGTTCATGCAGTTGTTAATGTTCAAGTTCACAGTGCATAAACTAATATTAAAATATACAATTTTTGATCTGAAAATGTATTAGTAAATGCTAAGAATTGCTGTATTGTTCATTGTTAGTTCATGTTAACAAATGAAACCTTATTGTAAAGTGCTACCAACAGAAATGTACATTCGATGGGGGTTAGTGTTAGTTAATGCTTCTGGTGTCGTGATCATTCTTTGTCCATGATACCTGATGCTAATGACATTTAGCAATATGTTATTGCTGTGAGGTTGCTCTTTTATCGTTCAGGAGATTTAACTCCTTAGGGAGAGCTCACTGCTGTTTTATGCCTCTCCAGAAGGTCTGTAGAAGAAGTAAAAAACAATGAGGCACAATTGAGTCTATGGTTGTCATACTGAGAAGAAATGTTTGATTTATTGTAGCAAATCTAAACTGAGTTTGGTCCATGAACCAAAGCATACTTCTCCCTGATGAATACAACATTGCAAACACTGATTTGAGGCAAACAATTATATAAAAAAAAAAAAAGACTGTGAACAACATCTTTTATAAGCAAGCTTTATAAGTGAACATTTGCACAGTAAAAACAATACATTTACAATTTAATAAAGTTTGAGGATGTTGAGAGACATCATTTACAATGGTTATTGGGTATCGGCGGTCACTTTTTTGAGCTCTTTGGACAAAAATTCGACTCTAATTCTATGGTAAAAGCACCATTGAATTGTGGATCTCTCTCCAGGAATTTCTGTAGTGTGATTCTTCACAGAAAACCTTACCATTAAACATTAAAAAAAAAAGAGTTAAAATCACATTTAACATATGGCTTCTAAAAAACTGTATATATCACTGCTTAACAACATCATGGTCATGAAAAATGTGTAGGATATCGTTCAGCATCAATTTCTCTATAAAAATGAATGCGATTTCAGCCCAACAGCTGTGCTCTTATACTGCAGTGATGTAAACTCATGAGGAGTGAAAAAGCAAAGACAGATACATAGCCAAGGAAATGCTTCAGTGGGAATTTCTTATAAAAGAACGAGCTTTACACATTTCAATAAATATTTAAATGATTTAACTGTTTAACATGCCTGTTTATAGTAGCAATACATATATTTATATTAGCATTCAGTCCTGTAATAATGACATTTATAATAACATCCTGTATATATAATTTACATCAAAAAGAAAAAAAAAACTAATATATTTATTGAAAGGAAAAATAATTATCTTCCATAGTCCATCAAATCCTGCAGCGCTCCTGTAGATGTGAAATCCCTGCACATGTGCTGCTGTAATCAGTCACAAGATTGGCTGCTGTTGTTGTGAGACTTGTGATTGGCTGCTATTATAGTATGGAAGGTGAACAGGGCCAAAATATATATTTTTAATTTTTTAATGGAATGCGTGGAATTTGACTGTGTCAGAGCAGTCAATTAAATTGCTGTATTTGAGACTATATTTGCATATGTGACACAATGCTACGATGGTATATACATATACAAACATTAGAAGTCATGTTTATGAAGGAGGTAATAATGGTACACTGGTATGCACATATTCAAACAGACAATATGTTTATTCATGAGGGATAATGCATCAGTACCTACATCAGTTTTATGTTATGATTTGTCTTGTCATTTTTAGCTGTTTAGTTCAATGTTCTTTCTTCTTTCTTTCTAATTAATTTACTCACAGTAGATATCAGTAAAGCAATGCCGCAATAAACAAAATAAATATTAATATGTGGGTAAATTTAGAGGTAAATTGATTTAAATAAGTATTACACATTCAAACAGCCAGAAGTGTGTGAGTTGAGACCCATGTTCAAGTTCCTCGTCTTAACACATTAAAACTGTATGTCTTTACACATTCTAAAGAAACGCAGTGATAACTGATGGCTTAACACACTCAAAATGTGTCTACACATACAAAAAATAAAAATAAAAAAAATTACAAATTGCCACAGTAACGTGGACGAACATAGGGTGTTGACTCAGTCAAATTTCACACGTTCTGTTGAAAGACTTTTGGCTCTGTCTGCCTGCCATATTACAGAGTCAAACGAACATGCACAGAACAAACGTGCTGCCAATCATGCCCCCAAACAATATGCATCTGAACAAATCACATAAGTTACTGATTTTGCATTCAAAACAGTGAATTTCGCCGAAAGATGAGAAGTTTGCATTGATGAAGAGAGAAACAAAGCTTTTCAAAGCTCTGAGTCAATTGTATCAATTGTCTCGTAAAGTGATTCACTGTTTCTCAGCATTCGAAACACCACAGGCCGGCACCACCTTCTGGTCAAAACGGTGTAAATGCAACAAAAGCTCAGTTAAAACATTTATTTATGTTTTTATGAAACTGTAATCTATTAAATGCACTCTACAAATGATGAAATACCATAAAGGTTCTGTAAAATTTGTGTTTTATTAATTTGTAGTCCTATATAAAAAAAATAAAAAAAAAGATCAAGATCAGTTTATAAAAGTGTTTTAATGGGTTCATTAGATCACCGCCATCTGGCAGTGACCCTCTGATCAAACAGCCAGAAGTGTGTGAGTTGAGACCCATGTTCAAGTTCCTCGTCTTAACACATTAAAACTGTATGTCTTTACACATTCTAAAGAAACGCAGTGATAACTGATGGCTTAACACACTCAAAATGTGTCTACACATACAAAAAATAAAAATAAAAAAAATTACAAATTGCCACAGTAACGTGGACGAACATAGGGTGTTGACTCAGTCAAATTTCACACGTTCTGTTGAAAGACTTTTGGCTCTGTCTGCCTGCCATATTACAGAGTCAAACGAACATGCACAGAACAAACGTGCTGCCAATCATGCCCCCAAACAATATGCATCTGAACAAAACACATAAGTTACTGATTTTGCATTCAAAACAGTGAATTTCGCCGAAAGATGAGAAGTTTGCATTGATGAAGAGAGAAACAAAGCTTTTCAAAGCTCTGAGTCAATTGTATCAATTGTCTCGTAAAGTGATTCACTGTTTCTCAGCATTCGAAACACCACAGGCCGGCACCACCTTCTGGTCAAAACGGTGTAAATGCAACAAAAGCTCAGTTAAAACATTTATTTATGTTTTTATGAAACTGTAATCTATTAAATGCACTCTACAAATGATGAAATACCATAAAGGTTCTGTAAAATTTGTGTTGTATTAATTTGTAGTCCTATATAAAAAAAAAAAGAAAAAGATCAAGATCAGTTTATAAAAGTGTTCATGGGTTCATTAGATCACCGCCATCTGGCAGTGACCCTCTGAATTTTGAAACCAATCATATATGATGTAACAAAGCCTCGTTGTCTGAAATCATGTGACTTGCAAAGTTTGATACAATCTCCAAACCACTGATTTGAGACAAAATATTTGTAAATGTTTCGAAGCTTCATGAATCTGTGCTTCATTGCTAGTTTGCATCCCTTTGATTGTGTTAAAAGAAGCCCTACCGAGAAGTAATTAAAGTATGTATTGGATCGGTATGGTTGAGATGTTAATGGACATTGCATGTACTTCTACGAGCTCTCACAGCACAACTGCTGTTCTTTTCTCAAGAATGCTTCCACTTGGCGCGCAGTGACTTTAAAAATAAGCTTTCAAGATAATAACACGAAAAGTCACTGCAAAGGACACATACAATACGTCTCTATATCTTCAGTGCATTTAAGGATAAAGCCGCGTTTGGGCATGTGGTCGCTCTAATGGTCTTAAAATCTGCACTGGAGCGCGTGAGACGGTTGTGTTTTCACCTTGATGCACTGGTTCAGCTCAGGCTTTGTGATCGTGTAGCCTTCATCTTGCTGGCTGTGCTAGTTGTTTTACAATTTAAGACATCATATATCAAAACGGCACATTCTAATACTTATTGCAGGGATGCAATTAAAA